TCAGTCCAGGGGAGGAGGAGTCGTGTTGGTAGGCGATAGTTGATGACGCAACCAGCGCCAGCAACAGTCAATTCAATTCCCAGCAGTACAAATGGTCCTGCCATCGACAGCTCCAAGCAACCACTCGGAATTCCCTGAAGGGCTCCATCTGCTTTCACCACATCGCCGTCTGGCATCAGGCTGCTTTGAAGTCTAAACCCTAAACCCTAAACCCTAAACCCTAAACCCTAAACCTATTACACCTTGATGTCTTGCTGCTCTTGCACTGAAGGTCCGAGGGCTCTGGGGGCTTTCCGAGCTCACAGAGCTTCTGAAGCCGACTTGGATTGTCATTACGATGATTATTGTTATGACTACTGCTGCGATAGAGTGTATATTAGTGTAGTCTTACTCCTATTAGTAGCACTATGGTTCTGAACATTTATATATATATATATATATTATATATGTACTACATATATGTGCATATATATATATATACATAAATAAATATATATATATATATATGTGTGTGTGTGTGTGTCTGTACCTTGTTTTTTGTGCTGCTCCGTCACTCTGTGAGTCGCCGGGTTCCTGAGCTCTCACCTGTCAGAGTTACATTGCTCCCGGCAAGCCTGACTTTACACTCCGCTTGCCGTCGCTCGCTGCACATCTCTACGTACATAAACACACACACCCACACACCTATAAAGAACAAGCGAAAATATATGTGTATATGTATATATATATACATATATATATATATATATATTTATATTTATTTATTTATTTATTTATTTACACACACATGTCCACACAACCAGTGTGTGTGTGTGAGCCTCGGCGATCTGTGTTGCCAGGGCCCTCTTCTTATTTATTAGTCTTGCCTTCGTGGTGTTGCTGAGGGGATCCTCGGCCCGCGCTGGTAGCAAAGTTCAAGTAATTCAGCCAATGCTCCTTGCTCCGCTTTTGGATGGAACACCCGCTGCTGCAGGCATCATGGATGGGAGTGGTGGATCACCACACTCTTGTCTATGTGGCTCGCCATGCCTTAGACAAGCTTTTTGTTTTGAATCCTGCCGCTGGTTTACACAAGCAATGGCCAGTGCATCAGTTGTCTTACAGTAAGGATTTTTGAGGATTAGCTTCTTGTACACTTCGGTGCTCCGTCGGAGCACGAAGTGCTCAGGAATACTTCAGCGAGAGGAGATTGAGAAGCTTGAAGATCGATTGGGGCCGGGCGCTGAGTGAACTGCCCTCAGTTCCTTCGACCTTATAATATTTTCGTGCGATTCGGAGGACCTTTCGCAAATGCTCACAAGTTGAAAAGTTACTCCGAAGCTCCCCCAGCCCTAAATGCGAAACACTTAATTCCAAAGCCCTTCGATGCTTCAAGGCAAGGACGGCTTCTTCTTTGCAGATGGCTCTGAGGCTTTGCTTCGGGTCGGTGTTTTCGGGCAGAAGATACCCGTTGGACGGGTGGAACTGGATGGCAGCTACCATGCTGATTACATGGTTTAGTGGAGCCTTTCCCGGAACTTAACTTGCGTGCGCAAACCGCTCTTGGAAGGATCCGTGCCCAGCTGGTGATGTCCTATCACGCAAGATGTGCCGCGTCACCGGCATGGAGGCGAGTCGGAAATGACTTGTCTGGGACTAGATTTGGTGCTGGAATTCCTGCGCCTGCATGTTGCCGTATGGTTGAGCAGTTGGGGGCGGCAGCAGTCTGCAAAATGTCTCCCAACCTGTCATGGTCTTGTCTTCCTCAGCTCAGTCTAACACATGAGCTCACATGGATTTTCAGCCGTCCATCGTGAATGCAGTGTTTACAAGCGTCACGGCCTGGAACCTGTCATCCAATTAGACCCTTCCATCATCTTCTATGATTCAGAGAGGGCTCGTCGAGAGCGAGAATTGGTACAATTGCAGCCTTAGGCTTCTCCAGTTATAGCAGCGCAGGAATATTCTAAGCCCCCAGCTTTCAGATGCGTCACCCCAATGTGTATAGCAGGTAGACAGGCCAAACGGCAACATCATGCCTCTCAGAGTATTCAGACTCGGGGTTTCTTGCAACCACTGCTTCTCTTGCCACCCATGGCGATGCATGTAACGAACCTGTAGCTGAAGTCGGTAGTGCCGTGCTCTTACCAGCAGTTCGATAAGCCCTTGAATCCGGGGTTCAGAGCAGCAGTTGACCAAGTTGACCGTCAACTTAGTGGTTTAGCACTTCTCTATTCTGTGAGACAGCTACCAGGGGAAAACAGTCCTACGTACACAAATGTAACCTCCACAGTTGCTCCAAACCATCCTGACCATTCTGCGGACAGCTGCCAGGTTTGCCAACAGCGCCGGCCTCAGCGCCTTTGCGATGTCTTGTCTCGTGAGTCCAATGCTCCATACCAAGGGACAATGTCATGCCGCCACTGTACGGATTTTGAAAAGTGAGAGGCTTTCATCTCAAAAGAAAGGCTGCATGTGCTCAGCATATACAGCAGACCGAGCAGCGACAAGTGCGGCAGAAAGCACACCCCGTGGCAACCACAGCTACAACAACAGACGGCAGTTCGGTGAGGCAGAACACAATAGCAGACGGGGAAAGGTTTGGAGGTGTAGCCAGAAGTGCAGCAGCGGTAGAAGCAGTCACAGTGGTCGTCCAGGGCGAGTTGCAGCAAAGAAGAGTATCTCGTATGCTGCTTGATGCTGTTTGAATACAGTCACAGCCGTATTGCGCATGTCATAGCAGGGCTGCAGCCATAGTCCATAGTTTTTGCCATGGAGTATTCACATGTGTAGGCATCGGCCAGTGATGTTTAGAATCGTCGGTCAAGCGGAAACCAACGTCATCCAAGCGTCATCATCTCCCGCAGCGACCAGCAACATCATTGTCAAAGTCACTTCGTTGCTCCATCCCTAAACCGTAAACCCTAAACCCTAAACCCTAAACCCATCGCCACGAGTGTTTTTTTCCACGTGACCTTGGTTCGGGCCTGGGGCCAGGCCTAGGATGACAGTTGCAAGTTGCAACTACTCTAGTTGTGCTCACGCTTTCTTTCTTTCTCTTTCTGTCTTCTTACCTTCATCCGAGAACGCACAGAGCAAGTCCTAGCAAGTACAGCCCCGAGCTTCCCAAACTGATCAAACTGGGTTTCGCGATCTCGAGGAGAGGAATGTCTCATGCAACCTGTGCCTTTGTTCTCGCCTTTTTTTGGATGAACTGTTTTGTCACTGCCGCTTTGCGGCTAGCCTTGCAACCACATATCAGAAAAAGCGTCGTTGATTCATTCATACGTTTATGCACCCAACCTTTGTCCCACCGTCTGGCACAGAAGCTTAGTGCGCACCTTCGTGCCAACGATCGCTGAAGCAACCAACGTGCAGACGTCCTTTCACGCAGTGGCACTCAAGGCATTTCAACCCCAGCTGCGTACCAAGCACCATGTGGGTGGTTGTCAAAATTATGGTCCCTTTTGGGGTCCTTATTTTTATACGGCACCTATTATTTAGGGTACCCCACAAGGGACCATAATTTTGACAACTACCCATGTGCGTGCCATGAAGCCTCAATACACTGACTTGAGCAGGCTGGAGCGGGTTACCTGGAAAAAGTACGACCTCATGAAGTGGAATTGCCAGCAATTCTGCCTCGACCTCAGCCCTTGGTGTCGGCAGGATGAACGCATACCACGAGTGTCGGCGCGAGGATCCACCAAGCAGATCTTCGTCGCTCGAGGGACTTAGGAAGCCTCGGGGCTATCCGAAGGGCACTAATCACTTTTTGCATCTCCTTGTAGCGGGACTCAGTAGATCCATGTGGAAGGCAGAAGCCCAATGCCGCAGTCGCAAGGCATCCGACAGAAACGAAGATGCCCCCACTGTCCTTACTGTTCTGTGTGTCCCGCTACATGGAAGCCGAGAGCTGGAGAGTAACCCAAGGATGTTCAGACCCCGGAAGCATCCTGAAGCATATCCCCCGAAATTTAGTAACTCCATGCGCCTCAATCCCGCCCCTCCCTTCCAGCAAAAGCCTCAACACCGAACCCTTCGGAGGGCTGGGGGTGCTGGAAGCCTCGATCTGCAACTGTCAGGTCGACATATGTTCGAGCAGGTGCCCGAGGTCTATACAGGAAGTGCCTCCACTCCTGGCGCCTGAGGGCCATCCGCCTTCGGTGTACAATACGATCGGATACCTATAGATGTTTAACCGCAATCGATAGTTTGTATAGCGCATGTGCATCATGTGCATCTAGAGGAAGCCTTACCGATGCCGAACCATTCTTCTATAGGGACAGTAGGACAGCCTGACTAGGACTAGTGCTGGAAATGTTCCACCCCAAAGCGGGCCGCCACGGAGCGTCTGAGTTTTCAGACAAAGGCACCACGAACGGAGCACCCTTGCTTCAGGCTTCTTGATCATGCGCTCTAGCCTTGTTGCATTATGCACCCCTGTCTTGGAGGCCTCCTGATTGTCAGAGTGTGATGGAATGCTTTGGCTCGGCATTGCCGGTACAGATCAACGTCATGTTCCGAAACCCTTTCGTGCTCATCAGTGCGATGGTACGCAGATTGCGCCAAGTCAGTCTCTAGTTTCGCAGCCACGCGCAGGCGGGATTTTTTCTCGTTACTTCCAAGATGAAGGCCCCGATTGCGAGTGCATGATGCAGGCAGACGCTTCATTGAGTTCGCTTGTAATGGCTCTTGTCGGCCCGTCCTGTCCGTCATTTGTTAAGTCGACGCAGGCCGTGCGTGTTGATGTCGAAGGCGTCTCTAGTTCATGTAGGCCTTTCGGACCTTGATTAAGTAGCACCCTGCTTCAGTAGGTGTCCGTGACACAGCGCAGGAGATCGCACATCCCCTCCTGCACCGATCTTCGTGGGTGTTGTGCTCAGTTTCCTTCGCACAATGCGCATGGAGACCCTGGTTCGTATATCAGGCTATTGCAGGCAAGTGCGGAACACTGTTTGGTTCCGAAAATCCGGGAAGCACGGCAGCATCAAGCCACGGCTATAGCCAACTGCTCAGCCATGGCTCCTTCCGCATCCTCCATGGTGCTCGGCGCCGCCGCCACGGCCTGGTTCACTGGCTTGGCCTTCACGGCTCCGGGACAGGTCCGCACAGCCCCGGCACAGGCACGGCCGGGTAACGTGCGCGGTGCCCGGGCAGAATCTGGCAGCACCGGCTTCAGTGGAGCCACTGCTCTTGGAGGAGTTTGTGTTACTATGGCCCTGGCGAGGGGCGGAAAGTCCATGAGGAAGGCGCTGAGCCAGGATGAACTCAAAAAGATGGTTGGCTACAAGGCCGTGGATGACTACGTGCAGAGTGGCACGGTGATCGGTCTCGGCACAGGCTCCACCGCCGCCTTCGCCGTGGAACGCGTTGGTGAGAAGTTGAAGTCAGGAGAGCTCAAGGACATCATCGCCATCCCGACCTCCATCCGCACCCAGGACAGGATCTGAGAAGCAGGGCGGAACCGATAGAAGCCCGCCTAGTCCAAGATCCTCAGTCTCACATGGATCCGAATAAAGGAGCCCCTTATAGAGGGCCTTAAGAACTCCCCAGCAGGAGCAGGCAGAGAGCCTGGGCATTCCCTTGGCGACCCTGGACACCCACAGTGACCTGGATGTGGCCATCGATGGTGCGGACGAGGTAGATCCCGCTTTGAACCTCGTGAAGGTGGGAAAAGACTAGGTGGGATAGGGGTACGTAAGGGTTGGGGTTCTCCGAAAATTTCATCCCATGACCTCCTCAGGGTGGAGGCGGTGCACTCTTTCGGGAGAAGATTGTGGAGATGTGCGCCAAGAAGTTCATTGTCATCGTCGATGAGTCCAAGCTTTGCGATGGCCTTGGCCCTGGCTTCCCGGTCCCTGTCGAGATCGTGCCAGGGCCTTGCTACTTCTTTCTTCTGCCCTTTTGGTAGTTAAGGCTTAAGACTTGAAGAGTCTCCCAATCCGAAGGCAACAGTTGATTTTCGTTGAGCGACCGAGCATAGGTGCCCTTCTGCCACGAGCACACCATGCGCAAGATCGCCTCGCTGCCGGCGCTCAAGGGATGCGAGCCGGTGCTGCGGTTGGGCGACGTGGCAAACAACCAACCGGACGGAGATGAGCCGGCGGTGACTGACAATGGCAACTACATCGTGGATCTGTAGCTTGGCTTTCAGAAAGTACTTGGAAAGATTCTGTTCTGTTGATGGCACCCTGCTCGCAGGCTTTGATGTAGCGAAATTCCACGTCTGACATACCTTTCCAAAGATGTGTGCCTACATACTTACATAGAGACATGCATA